CGTCAGCAAGTGGTGGAAGGCGTGACATGGAGGCTCGGCAGCACAACGTGTGACTATGACCTATGACCCGAGGTGCTGCACGCTGCTTTGAGAACTACGGCTAGTTTGAAAAACATGGCAACATGCGGTATCATGGTACATGTACACGACAGGCGTGGCTACTACCTTTGCTGTAGGATCAACTGGCAAACAACCGATAAGGAAACAAGTTGAAAGCGTCCACTTTTTGGAACTGCGCAAGAGAAGCTGCAGGCTGCACCAACACAATATCCCATTCATTGCGTTTAGGCAGACACTGTCATCAGTCCTCAAGTCCCATGGCTCGAGCCGCCTCTTCGTCAGCCTCAGTCGAGGTGTCCATCTGTGTTTCCACTCCTGGGTCTTGGACTGGGTAGATGGTGACAGACATCTTCTCAGGCTGCGTTTTGCCTACCATATATATATATACATATATATATATATTCTTTGGCAGGGCATCCTACATACAACACTGTCTAGACCACTGTCACTTTGGAAGCTTTGACTCAAGCGACGGAATCTTCATGTATCTTCATGTTATATAGACCCCCAAATTTAGATAGAGAAGTAGATCCCCACTCAACATGTTTTGGACACCGTGCCACTATCCATTTGGAGACCATATACTATAGTAGGTTTTGGGACCATCTGAACCCGGCGCCAACCCGATTCTTCCTGAGTTCGAACGACCTGAGAGGTGACCGCCGTGTGCGTGCTGGAGAGCGGCGCGGCGCTCACGATCAAGGAGACTGGGTTCGGAGACTGGGAAGACTGCTACCCGTGTGCGGCCCTACTCTCTAGAAGCAGGTCTGGAACTTCCATGTGGTGCATTCCTTGGAGTGCAAGCTGACTTACAAGTAGTGAGGATTCTCCAAAGCTCCAAGAGTTGAGCTCGAGGTAGGCGGGATCCAAGCATTCGCTTTAGCTCGTGATCGTATTCCACTCCCAGAGCTGAAGGAATGGACAGCGGACCAATTTGGGAACGAACCAAGCCTAGATTCCATCCGTTGATCCTTTCACTCATGGAACTTGCAAGAAGCACCCTTTATTCAGGGCTGGGTGCTTCTTGCTGCACAGAGGCCGGGCCTGAGGCCGTCTGAGCCACAACCCACATGCCCCACACGGAGTCCCATTTCGAAGTATACAGCAAATGACAGTAATGGTTGTGACAGACTTTTGGATTTTCCTACCTAGGTCGAACATCGATGTTGACATTTGGCTATCATCCCACTTAGTATATAGTTCACATCTTTTCCCTTTCCGACTCCCGAACGGACCCGAAGTGGATGGCATGGACCCATGGTCCGTCGGAAGTGCCGGACCGTGACGGACCGTGACGGTGGACGCCAGATGGAAACGCCGGAAACGCCGGAAACCGTGACGGGCTTGGTGTCTCCATCCAGCGACCAAGGGTAGACCCTTGCGCAAGGTGAGCCATGATCCACCTCTTTGTGTCGCCTTTGGATCTTCACCTGAAAGACCCACCCCCCAAGAGCCCCCAGCAAGACGTCTTCCCACAAGAACAAAGGCGCTCTCAGCGCTGCTGAGGAGCTCAGGGAGTGGGGCAAAGAGCGGATGGCATCCTACAAGGTGAGGCTTCGAGATCTCCCCGCGGCAGCCCGGGGCGGGGCGTTGACAGCAGCCCTCCACTTCCGGTCGTTTTGGTGCGTTTGGTTTGGTCGTTTGGTGGGACGGGACTGATGTATAATGCTAAGAAAGCGAGGAGGTCCATGGGTTGGTTGTTCTTGGAGCCTCAAAGCTATTATTTTCTTTACTCCTTTGACAGCCCGAACTGGCGGTTTGGATGCATGTCGGGGATTAGACCACGGGGCCTCCCTTCATTTTGATACTTACAAACCCAAATCATATCCACAAAGACTAGTTCCATCAACTTGAAACAAAAGTGATCTTGCCGCCTTCCCTTTTTGAACATGCTTAATTATAGTAAAGCCACTCAACCAGACATGTGACGGGTGGGGTGTTCGGTTTTCTTCGTTTTCAGGTTTTCTATGTCATCAATCTTTCGGAAGCTGCATGTTTTTTCTTCTTCGTCGGTGCTTAGAAACGACCCATCGGAACCAACCAGGTGGTTGTTCCTTCGATGGTTTGGGTTCGTGGATAGGTGCCCCAGGATTTGGAGATCGTCAGCGAGTTGCCTCTTGGATCGCGGAGCTTGGGGGAAGGAGCGGAAGGTGGCCATGTTTCAATCATAATTTTTTGTTGATTCACGATTCTAAGGAAGGTCTAACATGGTCTAACACCCTCAATCAGACACACCCTAAAGACAGTGGGTGCCAGTGGCAAGCCGGGCTTCGTGAGGAGAGCTGTCGGGTTTGCGTCCGCTTTTTGGTGCAGATGGGGAGATGTGCAGACAATCCGATGCGAACTCGCGGTCATTAAATGGAGGACTACATGACAATAGGTGTCTATTGCAATAAGGAGACCCCGTGGCCCAATCGTGTAGGCTCTTGATGAATAGCTCCCCCATTTGGACTGAAACAGTTCTTCATATGGGGGTTTCTATGAATCTAAGAGTCTACATTAAGGTTTTGCTCTAAACAACCTTCTTCCAGAGGGGTCTTGTGAGGGGTCTCCCTAACACACCCATTTTATATGTTCAACTGTTAGAGAGGATGGTAGCTGCTAGCCCCTTACACATGGTAGCTGTGTGAATGGTTCAGCCCAGACTTTTGGCTTCCTAGTTTCCCCAATTTAGCAGTGGGATAGACACAGTAAAATAGTATAAAACCAGTAGCCTTTGCGTGCCTTTGTCCAACTATTGAGCCTGGTCAAACGGTCCCCTTGCTGATCCCCATGGTCCCACGGTGATCCTCATTCCTTCCGGTTAGGCCGCGCAATCAAATGGGCAAGCTCGAGAAGAAGAAGATCTTGGAGAGGTTGGACTGACGATATCGCCCAAATGGGGCTGCGCAACTTTCCGGCTGAAAGAGTTCGACTTCAGACTATCCAGATCCGGGGACCTCAAGACAACTCTTTTTGATATTGTTTTTGAGAGCAGGTCACCATGTCATGTGAAGCGGATTTGCCATCCAACATTTTGCTGTTCACTTGGCTGCCACAGTTGCAGGTACAAGTGAAGCCCCGTGGCTATATACGTGGCTTTGCGGCAAGGGTGATCTTCCGGAAGCTTCCACTTGGGAAGTCCAAAATCAGATCTCATGTTGTGCGGTTTTAAGGCGGCTTTTTTCTCTTCTCTTTTCTCTCCAACAGATCCAGATGTTCATATTCCATATCAATCTTTCGACCGAGAACTCGCCGTGATCTTTTGGTGGCTCCTTCGGACAAAAAGATCTCAGAATCGACCTCCCGTGTCGATGTAGCGAGGAGCGCACGTGTACAGGGATACGAAGACCCACATTCGCACTCGGCCACCTTGGCCATACCGTGCTGGTGGGGACGGCATCCAACCTGGGTTAATGATATCTAGCGGATGAGGACAATGCCATTTATGAAGCTGCAGGTACCTGATGTTGTGGGGAATCATGGGGTACGACTTGGCTGTACGACTTGGGATTTGCACGTTTTTTCAATACAAGAATTGTGATCATGACCCGGATGCCCATCGCTTTTAGCTCTGCCAAAAGCAGTGGCCTCCAACTCGACCACACAAAACGAGCGACCAAACATCGCGAGCGTGGCAAAAGCGGGCCGGAGCGCTTTTGCTTGACGTGGCGTCCGTGCGTCGTGCGTGGCGTCGTTCGTGGCGGGCGCGCGGGGCGTGGTTCGTTGGGGCTCATCGGCTCATCGCTGGCGGCGTTCTGCTGGACGCGGGGGACGCAGGGTTTTCACGGGCCGCCGCGCATGGAGCCCTTGGGCCGAAGCCAGGCGGAACGAGAGAGTGGGCGGTGCGGTGTTTCACAGTCGTGGGACGGGTGGTCAGAGACGGTTCAGTCGGGTCTGACGTTTTTGAGGAAAGGATCTGTTCTCACCCTGTAAGCCTCTTGCTCCGTTCGTAGCGATACCCTTTGTTCCGTTCGTAGCTTCTTGTTACTATAATAGTAGGGACAGGCCCTTAGGCCTAATACGGCCTGATGTTTCGATTTTATGAGGTGAGGTCACGGTGTGGACTGCGAGTGGTCTTACGAATTCGGACCATCAAGCTGTTTGGAGAGAAGAAGACTCGGTCCATGCAGGGTCCATGGATCTTTTCGATGGCTGAACGGAGTGAAGACTGGAAGTCTTTGTCTTCGTCTTCACAGAGGTTTGAACATCGCGAAAAAATAGCCAAATGATGCCAGGCCATCTAGATAGCCCGTGAAACGACATGGTTTTTGGACCACGGACCACGGGATGATTCGACCTTTCACTGACTAAATGTCTCCGACAAAACCACATGTGCCGTTTCGAAGATCCAGATTTACAATGACGATCGATAGCCGCTTCCCTCGATTCCATCGACCGGCCCGGCGTCGGAGTCTCCGTCCGTTCGGCGTCGGGGGTTGCTGGACTGAGTCTCCCACGATCACATACTAACTTTCACTGTTGATGTTTCGTATCAATAAAACAGGCACCAATTTATAGTTGTTGTATCAGTCAGGAGTTTGATGCGTTTTTTGTCAAGATGGTTCGCTCACGTCAATGTCCCTTATTACCTGTATATCTTGTTTGTGCCTTGAGTTCAATCTCCAACACACCCTCATGGACATCCACAAACTTTTGTTCGGGCACTCAGCACTGGGAAAGTTCACTGGATGTGATGACCAATTTGAGACCTCGCTGAGGTAAATCACAGCAGGACAAACAAGGCTGTGTGTCAAAACTCATTGCGTGATTGAGGTGAGGCGACTTTCCATGCCTGATGTCTAATTTGGTTGGCTCATAGCGGCAAACTCTCAACTTTCCTCCGTGTTCGCGCTGCGTGGAACACCACGCATTGGGGGAATTCCGGAGCACGTCCGACCTCCGAGACCACCGACCTGGCGAAAAACCCCTTCGGTGCGCCGTGCATTGCCTTCAGGGCCATGGCGGCGCCGGAGATGCCCTGGAAGGAACACGTCAAGGCGATGAAGGCCGTGCCCGGCTCCGCGGAGGAGGGCGCGGAGCGATTCAAAAGGGTCTGTTCGTCGGGTCGGTGTGGCGGTGTGTGGCGACCTTTGTGGGGTCTTAGACCAGTGGAGCGGTCCTGAGGGGTTTGAAGAAGCGACCCAAAAGCACAATGACAAGGGCTTCTTGCTGGAGAATGCTGGACTGTCTTGTAGACGTATCATGATGTTCGCCTGTTCAAAGTGGTTTTAGCATGTTTTAGCAGGAGTTGATAGACTATATATGGTGATTTTATGGTACAGTAGTTTCAACAAAGGGGGCGCCAATCAGCTTTAGCAGTCTACGCGAAGAAGAAGAAGAAGAAGAAGAAGAAGAAGAAGCAGAAGCAGAAGGAGAAGGAGAAGGAGAAGGAGAGATCAATGCATTGTTGAGTCTCAAACCTCCGCCGTCCTTCACGCCCGGCATGGCCATATTTCTTCTGCGTTCCCGAAGACATCGAGGCCTCCACCTCGAACTCGGTGCCCGTGGATCTTCACGAGGAGTTCCCCAAGGCCCGCAGGAACTTCCTCTGCGATTGTCGGGAGAGGACTGGAGGTTTGCAGGCTGACTTCAGGTGAAGATGGAGGAACTCCGAGACTGCAGCTGTTCTCCCTTTTCTCTAGCTTGCCTTTCTGGGCACGGCCGAAGCAATTGGTATGCCTCCTTTGTCATAGAGTGGCTAAACACTTGTAGGAACATGTAGGAACATAGGTTTGGCAAGCCACAATCGACCAATCCCATGCAGAGCAGCAGAGCCAAGACATCCTCTGACCCAGGTTCTGGATACGGTTGAGGAGCTGAAGCAAGAGAAAGTTGAAGCAGCTGAGGAGGCGGAGGATGTTCTCTCTTGGATGTGGTGTCTAATTTGGGCACCAACGATTGAGGTTCCCAGATTCAGGGTCACTGGTGGGATGCCACCCAACCCAACACTAGCAACACTAACGACACTAACAGGTATAGTCTGTGCGCGTCGTGTTGAAGAGTTTAACACATGGAGGCTGCGAAAAGCACTGCCTACTCCGCAATGCTTGTCAAAACTGTTTCTTTTTGTGCAATGCTTGGGAAGGTGTATTAAGCCGTGTATCCGCTCACGCTCACGCTTACTAGAACGGATGACGGGTCACTGGCGGATTACGGGCTGGAGTCTGCTTGGACACCCGCACGCGCCCGGCGCCAGAAGCGCCGTGGCCGTACCGTCCGGCGCGGGACCCGCGACGAGGAGAACGCGAGGGCGGCGACGGGGGGGGCTTCGGTGGGAGGCGGAGCGAGTCGGATGTGGAACACCTGGAATCAAGGCAGAAGAATCGAAAAGGAAACATGCAATCGGGATGAACTAACCCAGACCATTTAGTTCCAGAATTGGTTTAAGGGAAGATCTAGGAAACCATGGTTTTCACTCCGAAACTAGTAACTAGTAGGTTAGCCATGGTTTCCTGTAGATTTTCCCTTGAACCAACTCTGGGATTCAGGTAGGAAACCATTGTGAACCATTCCAGACAGATGAGTGGCAACGTCGTTTGCTCTGGTCGTGTCCGCACGAGCGTCCGATGATGGACACCGGTCTGCATCACGTGTTTTCTTTTTGCGAAAGACCCCAAAAACAGCGAGAAAACAGGTCAAACACGTTTGGAGGTTCCTGAGCTCTCACGCTTGTGAACACTGCAGTGCCGGTCAGCAAATTTAACGTTTAAATACTCCATCATCAACACCTTCTTGTCATTTCTTGTCATCATTCAGATGGGCTTCCATCCCAGCCACAAGGCGCGCAAAGCAAGTCGGATTTTCACGTCCCGTTCACACACTGAACTTGCCGCGAGTGACTGTGCTGGGGATCGCAGCCTGAATGGATATTATGCTCCCAATGAAAACAACCCAACGGGGGTACTTGGCGACAGGGTCTGATCATGTCCGACTTGTTGATCGCGCCGCTCGGACTTGTTTTTTTCATGTCAAGTATTCGGCTACAAAAAGAGCCCCGGGCGCCGGTTTTGACATGAGTGTGTTCTTGCAGAACATGTTGTTGCCTGGCGACACTGGCGAATTGTTTCAGACCAAGGACGGGCTTGGTGCCATAGGACACTGATTTGCTGGTCTGGAGCTTCTAGTTTGTGTACGTTATGTATACCCAAACAATCCCAAAGGCTTTGGAATTCGGTCATGAGTCAGTGTTTTCTGAACGGGTCTCAGTTCTTTTTACCCTGGGGGAGTCGAGCCGCTGGAAAACACCGGATGACTCGTTGGATGACTCGTTTTGACTCGTCCCGCCTCACAGCAACGCACGCGAGAGGAGCAAGTCTCCGTGTTGGAGAGACCGTCAGCCGAAGCCTTGGGGTGTGTTCTTGTGTGACCAAGTCGCAACACATGGAGATCAGCTTCCGAAACAGATTGGACTTTCAGTGGGGCGAAGGTTCGAAATCCATGTGGCCACCTTGCTTGGAGGGGACTTCAACACTGAACGACCTTCCGGATGTACGGGCTGTGACTGATTGCACCAGAATACGAATCGCTTGCATGCGAGGCATAATACATAATACGCTTGAATCTCGCACCCCTTTCCGCCTGCCAAGGTCCGTCCTTTCACTGAAATTCCATGATTCTATGGTTAAAAAAAACCACTTGTAGACACATTCAATGTGGACATATGTGGACCTTCATGTTTCTTCCATTGCTTTTCTATAGTTGGAAGCTGACTCATCACGGTCTGTGCCTCAAAAACCGTCTCCAGTGGTCCAACTGGACCGTCCTGAACCGGTCGACCGTGGCCTGGTGGATGGCAACAGAACTTGGAGCAAACTGAGACGAGGTCAGAAAAACAGTGAAAACAGGGGAAAACCCTTAGTGAACTCCGAAATGATGGCTAACTGGATGTGCACGTGACAAGTCTGTCTTCTGCAGCAACCCCAGACGTCGATGGAACCACTTCAAGCTCTAGGCACTTGAACACGCAAGACAAGCAAGGTTGATTTTTGTTTTAGCATGTTGTAGCTGCTGTTTGTTGCTAGCTTGGCTTCTCCGTGAACGATTTCCCTCTTTCTGATACTCTTCTTAGGGATAGCCGATTCTATTGAACCCAAGTGATGAGGAAGACATCTGGAAGCACGACTAAAACAACATCGATCGGCGCGTGCGCACTACCTGACCCGTACGAAAAAGCAGGTTTGAAGCCAGGTTTCTGCCTCTCAGAGAGCCCTTCCAGCTCAGGTCATGGCTCTAGATGCACCCAGCGGAAGAACTCCTGAACCCGACGGAGGCAGCAAGGCGCGAGCAGTGAAAGGATACTTTTTTTGTGGCCCGGCGGAGGGTCTGACGAGGACGACCGACCACGGGATCCACAGAAATCGCCGCAAATCGTTCCATCGACCAAGCAAATCTTAAACATATGACTTTTGGGGGGTCTCTTTTCTTGTTAGGAAGCATTCTTTTTGAGAAACTCCTTCAGATCCAGCACCCAACTAGGGCCCCTGAAAAGAGGGTCTGTCAAGGACCTAGAGGAGGTTCCGCTCCTCCCCTTTGATTTCAGTAGCTCTGACTGTTTCGTCATTGGAAATAGCTCTTTTGAAGTCGCTGGAAGATGCTGAAGTGTACTGATGTCTTTGCAGTGTACGTGACGTTCTTTCAGACGAGACGTCTGATGCTCGGTGCCCAGACTGGCGCACGTGCACCACCGAGCATCACGGAGCTAGTGAGTCCCTTGAAGACGCTGAAAGAGGATTTGAAACACAGGAAGCACCGCTGATTGAAGACCCTAGGCTATTGGCTACTGGAATCCATACGGAACCCATTCGTGAAACAATGGAATCCATTGGTTATCCATGGAAGCCATTGGTTTTCACGGCTGGAATCCATTCACCCTTTGCAGATGCTTTTGGTGTTTCAAACGGTCCAAAGGCGTCGGCTGCCAAGCTTCGATCCAAGCGACCGGTCAGCGCGACACCGGTCGACCGCGCCGGAGGTCCGCCGGAAAAAGAAGAAGAAGGCCGCTCTGTTGACCAGATCTCGGGGTGAGAGTGGGGTTCCCACCCGGCGCCGGGCGAGGAAGAACGCAACGGAGTTTGGGGGGGTAGCAGCCATGACCATTTGAAACGATTTCAAGGAAATGCATAGAAATGCAAGGTAGGGGATGAAGAAAGGAAGATGGTTTGTTCCCCTGCAGGGTTGCAACAGCACCAACATTTCGATCAAACCAGCTGTGACAACTGATGAACTTCTTGATTCTCGACAACTTCTTGATGCCATCTTATTGCAGATTCGACTCATTCGACATGCTTTTTTCCGCCCGACTCATTCGACTGCAGGAAGATGTGAACGTCTTCCAGGATTTCGGCAAGGTTCGCCCTTTCGGTTTCGGGGGACTCAGTGGATCGCCTTTCCGGCATCACAGGTTGAGATCGCGGGACGGGACGGGTGGATCGTTTGCCGCGGTGATAGGTGGATCGTTGGTAGAGGGACAGAGCCGTTGTAGATGACAAGTGTGTTGATGACAAGCACAGGACCCAATAGGACCCAATAGGACCCCTACTAGAACCCCTTTAAAGACTTAGAGAAGGACGACTCAGTATTTTGGCAAAGCTAAGCTAAGCTTTTAAGATCTTTAAGGAGACAATGAACACATGGCCGAACTCGTGCTTTGGTTCCCATCCAAGGTCACACACCGCTTCCCCATGACCTCTCACGAGTTATCTATGGAGATATAGTATGATATAGTTATAGGAATCGTAGGTGGATGCCGTGTTACATGACGGGCACCAAAAAGGCAATTCCAGGCATTCACCTAAAATAGGTATTTTCCTTTTTTTTCCGCGGATATAATATGTTAGGTGTGTGCTTCGACGGCATTTCCCGTCTGGACACTCTCACACGGTCTGTGGCTGCTGTTCAGGAGCACGACGATGCGCCAGTCCAGGAGGTGAAGGTCAACGGCATGGTGAGGAGCTGAGCGGACGGAGACCACGACCCGACCCAAGGGGGTTTGAGTGACAGTCATGTGACAGTCGTCTATCAAACTGTTTGTGCAACTGCGATGAACACACTCTGTTTTGATCATCCCCCAGAAGTATTTCTTGGTGATTTGGGGGGCTAGTTTGAGAGGTTATTGGCTGTTGACCGACTAGCAGCTAGCATCTATCTAGAATCTAGAAAGTAGGATGATAGTTGACCACTGCTTACAGACCACATCCATAGAGGACGGCTTCGGCAAAAGACCAAAGACTTCGTCATCCGCAGACGGAAGAAACAGTGGGCAGCCGGGGCAGCTGGGCAAGCGGTGAAGCAACTGCAGGTCTTCTACAAATTGAACTACGAGCGCTATTGGCAGCCAGCCTCCCAGTATTGAACCGACACCTCTTCGGGTTGTGTGTGCGCTTCTTCTTTCATGCAGGTGGAACAGGCCCATGAGAATCACTATAGATGTACCAAAAATCATCGAAAGATGGACCCTCGAGGAAGAGCAATGAGAATCAAGAGTATTGCCGCCACAGTGGGCCGCTGTTTCATAAGCATTTGTCATACATGTCAAGATAAAAACACGTGCAGCAATAAGAAGACTATATACTGTGGTAGCAATTACAGGATTGTGACAGGAAAGGCGATTCTTCACCAAGCTTTCCTGGGAGGTGAAGTCCAAATCCATGTGAAAACAGTTCACATCCAATCGAATGATCTGGAATTCGTCCCAGAATTCGAGTGAGATTTTCGTGTGAGTCAAAGACCTGGATTCTGAGGCTCGGGTGTTGAGATCTCAGAGGTGTAAACTCCTCCAACTCTTGCTGAACTCTAAGATTTTTTGTTTTTCGAAAGACATATTGAAGATGGGTCATGAATGATGAACACCAGATGGGGTGGCATGGCTCAGACCGAATCTGACCGGTCCAGACCGGTCCAGAATCCAGAAGACCCGAAAGAGGCAGCCGCTTTTTAGGGAACATGGGACACATAATAAGTGATATACATTTAGTGACATGCAGTGACAGGTGACCTGTATATGACATCCGTCTTTCCAAGTATTCCCCGAGAAGCCCCAGTGTGGTACCACCCAACTCCGCCGTCGAAACGGCGAAACGACGAAACGGTGACGTCGCCAGGAACGAGAGAGACTTGCAGCGCTGGGGTGAGGCGAGCGGCGCACGACGGCTTCGTTCACTCCCCCGAAGTCTTCGAGAAGACGTGGCGAATGGCGAAAATAACAATCTCTTTAGACCACAGCGTGAAAAGTCATTCTTTTTTCCCACAGGTGGGTGCAGGTGTAGGTAGGTGTACTCAGTGTACTCTATTTTTTTTGGCATCCTATATACTGTGGCTTTATCGTTTATAGTTCACATGGTTGGATTCTGAGAGGCAACCCTCCAGTCCCAGTGGTTGAGGTACTTCTCTGCCGCGGGCGGTTTGGGGCGGTAAGATATGCGCCTGTGGCGCGGCTTGCTTCCTCCAAAGGCACCACATTGACTGACCCTTTCATCATCTTTCATCAGGGTCCGTGCTTTTGTGCTAGGGGCAGTTGAGGGAAGTTCTATCAGATTCTATCACGTTTGCAGATGCTAGAGTTGCTAGAGCTGGCCTTGTCTCATGTTGCTGCACTATGGCCACATCGCGCCAGACCTGTTGCCCACTGGAGCGATCGGTGTTTGGGACCACCGGAGGGTACCGGTGCGACCGGAACGACGAAAGCCACCGAAGGGAGACGCGAATGATGGGACTTGACCACCGAAGGTGGACGACCTTTAAACAAAGTACTGTAAATGATAACATCTTTATATTAAGTTGACATATAATAACATATAATATATTATATATAATATAATAGTTATAGTAATGATATCATCATGGTGATTCACCTGCTCGGAGGGTGAATTTGGATGAATTTGCTACACTTTCCTGAATTTGACATGGGCTGCTGAAAGACTATCTTCCCGTCTGAACTTCACGGGATTGTTGTGGGGTTATGGCTTCATCTTGTGGGACTGGATTCCCCCGGTCTTCCCGGTCAATGCCAACCACCGTCCTTGCGGTCCTACCACCGGTCCAAAAGCGGCCCAAAAGCGGCACCAAGTTTTCGTCGCAGTCCTTGCGGCACAACATCCGCTACGAGCGCATGCTCTACAAGGAGATGCCCTTGGAGAGAGAGCACATTAGTTGATTCAAGACAGGAAGAGTGGACAGAAGCTAGTGTCTTTGGGTCGTTACTCGTATGGGCGATATAGGGCCAACAGAGTGATTGTGCACATACCGACTGGCACATGTCACTGCTCAGATGTGCCCGCGCAATTTCCATCCAAAAAGCAGGGATAGGAAGCTAAGGCAAATTCCTGACTTGGTAATCATGCATGACCCGTAGCCTCCACAAAACTACAAATCACCACTGTGAAGCATATATACCAAAAGATTGCCAAGGGAATGAACACTCATACTGCATCCATCTTACCGCTCATCCAACCTTACGGACATCTAAAGAATGCTCCCGCACCCTGCGTCCGCACCCGCCCGGGACGCGCCGGTGTCGCGCGCGGAGGTACGGGATCGCTGGCATGAAGATCTCCTTGGGGATCGGCTGGAGCTCAAGATCAGCCACAACTGCTTAGTAAGGACCGGCAGACGTGGGAACGGGCAGGGAACCGAAGTCGAATTGATGCCTTTGTTGGTGGCCTTACTGATGGCTTTGGGATTCTGTAGAGGCCTGCTGCATGCCTGTGATTGTAAAATCCTTGATCCAAAATCAAGGACTTGCATGGAATTAATGGCGGTTGATGGAGTTGCACCCTTGGGATTTCTGACAGAAGGAAGACCTTCAGGACCTCGAGGCGTTGCAACATGTTTAACATCCCACCAAGGCGGTGCTGAGCAAGGAAGATATTTGAAGGTCAATCAATATAAGTACAGTATAAGTGTTTATCCCCAGCCTGAGCCTTCCATACGTAGGATCTCGTGGGAACAGGCCTTTGATGGAATGCGCTTCCCTCCACGTTTCCATGGGCGAACCTAGTTGTGGTGTCTTCTCAATGTGTCGACAATATAATTGATAGGCTGAAAACAAGCAGCTACCCTGCTACACTCCCCCCGAAAATAAAGAACATCACATGGGGCCTGCTAGCTCATCCACTGCACCAATGCTTTGGACCGTCTCATCCATCTTCGTCTTCCACGGTAAAAGGACTCGACCGATGTTCATCCGGATCGACCGGCCGTCACCCGGCCGTGACCTCCGCGCGTGCCGGTGGTCTGCCGGTGGTCTGCCAAACATCCCCAAGAACCACAGGTCGGAACATCCCGGAGCATCCCGGAACCTCCTTGGAGTCGTTCAGGATGTGTTTCCGTTTCTTGTTTCTCAACAACCACCCCACCCCACAGTCCGCCTTTGGAACCTCCGTGGCGTTGCATGTGCTGTGCCGTCCTCCGAAAGGGGCCGGATCGACATGTCGTCAAAGCGTGGGGTGGAGCCGCGTTGGTGATCGATGGAGCCAGGTCGCGCAGTCAACGGTACCGGCCCAGAGCAACGAGCTCCGCACACCAGCTGAAGGAGAGGATGAAGGGGGCAAACAACTAGTGAGCTTACCATGACCAGTTATACCAATCAAATATGTATAATATATATCATGGTGAGCTCCTCCGCTGTTTTTGTTCTCGTACTATTATTTATTAGCGATGGAAGAGTGTGATTTTCAGACCCAGGCTGCCAGACTGAGGGGTCCAGCTTTTGCACTCTTGTTCATCTCCTGTCCTGCATTGGTGAGACAATGATCAATGTCACCATGTTCTCAATGGAATGTGACTCATAGGATTGTCAGTAGGATTGTCCTATAGAAGTTCTATCATCTCCCACTTGCTGAGGATGACTTGGCGTTCTTTTCTCTTTGGGGCTTCGGTCTCCTCGGAAGTCTCATCGGAACTCCTGACCGGTCTGTCGGCAGGACTTGCAGAAGATGATCGCACCCAAGGACCGGTGAAGCGACCGATGTCGCCGCGACCGCCCGAGGGTGTTGAAGGCGAAGGAAGTCCTGACCGGGACCTGGGATCCGCGTGGCTCTGCGTGGTGGGTGCACTTTTTAGAACACACATTGGCTTGCGATCATCATGTCCAGGGTTCAAAGTGGTGCTGGGGCTTCCCGCCATGGCACCGGCAAGCCTCTGAAAACGGGTCCGGATGCGATCCACGGGGTCTGAACATCGTTGTTTGGGGTCGGAACATGTCCGAACATCGTAAAGATAATAAGATTATAACATTTTGCGACAGTGGAATGAGCAAATGGCCGCAGGAATGCCGGTTGTTCAGGTCGAAGTGGCATTTGGATGCCAACCCGAAAAGGAGACCACTCTTTCTAACCGCATGGCCTCCACGGAGTTCAGACATTCGTGTCATGTCTAAGGACGCGGGCAGTAGGTGTGTGTGTGTGTTGTTTTTGCCCAAGAGATAGTTTGGAACATTAACATGACATGACATGTATTCAACGTATAGGTTGGGTTGGTCTCAAAATGGGAATTCGCTACATATCCTGATGATTGCAAGGGGGAAGTCATACGAAAGTCGACAAGACAGTGGTCTTTTGAGACCTTTGAAAGTCTGGAAGCCTTGTGAGGATTTGAGGGCCATGGCAGGGTGAACACATGTCAAAACCTATAGTAGCATCCAATGATGCTCAGAAGTTCTCACAGTGTTCGTCAATCTCTTTTTGCTTCTTGTGGAATCCAGTCAAGCCCAGAATCTATTTTTTTCCGAACTGGACCCACGGATACCTTAAGCAACTCGGCTTGCGGTCGACGGTCGACTTGCCACGTCACGTGCAGCATGGGAGGAAAACAAAAAGAAGAAGGTCATGGCGGAGTTGGCGAGCAAGTCGCTGGGGTGCTGAGCGGTGAAGCTGCGTCCAACACAGCCCAGGACGGACACATAGGACGAGAACACCCACTGCTTGGTGGCTTGTGGGAGCCACATAGGTAGGGTGTGAATTGATCATATATATAGGGAGGGCTCCCGACACCCACTGGAAGAAGGGAAAACAGACCACCTTTCGATCATCATGGGCCGGTCACCCGCGGAACCCTGGAACCCGCGCGGGGTGCCGGACGGACGGTCGCCAAAGGTTTCCATCGGTTTGTTTCTGCCGTCTGTATGGTGGGTCGGTGTCTCGATTTCTTGGCCAAGCTGAGACCACAAGGCCACACTTTTTGCCAGAGGCTCAGTTCCACAATGATTTCAACAACTAGAGTACTGGAGCTCTGGAGCTGACCTGACGTACCTGGATTTTTGTAATTCGCTGCAATGTCTCGCAGAAATTGGTGACTTCGACGCAGTGAATGGTAGGGTTCCTTATCAAAGAAATAAGCCGGCAGGCGGCAAAGGTCTCCCTTCCTTTTCATGCTGACCACATGGTGCAGTTACTGTATAGTTCCACATTGTCACATGGTCCTCATGGTCCCCGAAGTTGACTGACCGCAATTCACCTTCAAGGGGAGGCCCCGGAGGTTCGTCGGACCGTTGGACCGCACATCGGTCGGCCCTGACGGCCCTGATTCAACCGGAATCCAACTCAGCGGAAAAAGTCTGTGGCTCTTGGAGTGAGGATCCGATGTCAAACGCTGGAACCAGTCATCCCCAGCCCAACATGGTTGGAGCGCTCCTGGAACGCTGAAAAAATAGCAGAGCAGCTTTGACCTGTCACGACCCTCCCTGTCACGGGACGTTTGACGTGACGGACTTGGCCCAGTGGACTTGGCCCTTCTCAGGGGTGGAAGTGGTCTCTTTGGCTCCTTCTTCGCAGGGTGCGCCCGTCGTGGTTGGGCTCGGAGGGTAGGGCGGAGAGGGCGGAGATAAGAGATGATCAGAGGCGTTTGGGTACTGATCCTGTTTGTACCATGTTTGTTTCTTTACATTTGGACTTTGACTTTAAAAATGCATGTCAATGCTCGTTTCGCTTGAAACAGACCCGGGACCCGAAGAGAGCTCAGCCGAGGGAGCTCCATGGAGCTCAGTGTAGCGGGCTGGGCGGAGTACGGTGTGTCCAAGGGCAAGCATCCCCAAGGGCACGCGTCCTGAAACACATTGAAACTTGTACTGACACCAAACGATGGCAAACGGTGCGCCGTTCACGTTGTTTGGCATATGCTTTGCATATGTCGCAACCACATCCTTAAGGCAAACTCTGATTGATGCCCGTGCATGCCCGTGCAACACAGAAACCTTGGCAGTTGGCAGATGTTGTAACGTTGCCTGAGCCCGTTGCTTTGGCTTGGACCATGAAGATTGTGTGTGGGCCCTGGGTCAACCAAGCGGCCTTTTCTACCCCTCGGCCGGTCTTGCTGCATCTGCTTCGGACGCGGTGCGGCGCGCTCGGACAGCACAGGGATGACGGCGCTGCGAAGGACGAGTTTGCGAAGGAGGAGTCCCAGCAGGAGCTCCTTCTTCGGGGTCTGAAGAGTTGAGATTTTGGATCCTAACGTCAGGAGAACGGATTTTCCAGGGTCCTCCCCAGTGGGTTCCTGGATCGCAATTCAGGATGGGATTCGCCCAGTCGGACGAGCCGGACGAGCCGGATGTCAAGGAAGACATATAGGAAGACACACATACACACACTTGGCTGTGTGAAGGAAGCGTCCGCCTTTGAAAGTCTTAGCTTATATACTTTTATATTAAGACTTATTTCCAAGGCAGGACTGTCATTTGGCTTTTAATTGGAAGACTCATTTGGCTTTGTAAGACTCATTAGGTTTTTACTTGGAAGACTCATTTGGCCTTCATTTGGAAGACTCACTTGGCTTTTATTTGGAAGACTCATTCGCTTCTTTGGAAGAGTCATTTGGTTTTGGAGAAGCTTAAGCTTAGTAGTTTCCGGCATCGCGTCTCGAACGAAGCTACTAGGGCTTACTAGGGCATCGCGGCTCGAACGGAGCAAGAGGACGCTACGTTCGTAGCTCCTTGTTATACCGATTGGCGACCACCAGGCGATCGGTCTCAGCTGTGTGTGAAGCGACACACACGGAGATGTCAGAAGAGACATCCGGTATTTGTTGTTTGTTTGCCTGAAATCCACGCACCATACCAGGTCACAACTGGGTGACTTATAATGCTTATCCTACTTTCTAATTAGGTGGGTCCAATGAACAGGTACTTACTGAGAGAGATCACTATGCGGGTCTTGTAGTAATGTGTCCTTGCTTTGTACGGAGTACAGTTCTTTGGGGGTACACTTAACTCTTTTCGCCTAATATAGTACTCCACTCAGCCCCACTTCTTCTTGCGCAGTCGACTTCCTGTCCCAGGAGATCAGAGAAGAGCCGCTTGAGTTCGGGGAAGCGTTGCCGGATATCCGAGAAGAGGATGAGGAGGCCTGGCCCTGCGGGTGAAGAAGAGAGTGAGAAGTCACCTGGGTGGAGGAGCTTGCATTTGAAGGGATGGGGTTTGATTGTATGCGGCTCAAATCAGGGATGGTGGGAAGGAGGGAGGTTTTATATTTTGGACATTTTTGGACAATCTATTCATTTTTCTGACCCTTCTAAACTGCTGGGCTGAGGGTCCATGATGGTGTAGGACCCAACGGCCCATTCGAGCGAGTGAACCAGCAGCGCCCCGGCAGCGCTCCAGATGGAAGTGGATGATGTCTCAGCTCCCAGGAGTGGGTTGGGTCCGGACTGTGGGGACGTCCATCCACATCGTCCGTTCTGCAAGAAGGTTTGCTTGGAGATCAAGTGGTCGATCTGGGCGAAAGAGGTCGAATGTGCTTTATCCTGGACAGGCCGAAACGAAATAAAGTAAAGTCAGGTGAGGCGTTTCCCTTAGGGTGCGTGTGCATCCGCGTGTCGGTGTTGAACAAAAGGACGCAACACTCAGTAGATTGCCTGATCCGGACATGACATGAATGTTTTTCTTCGAAAGGCATGAGGTGAAGTGACGAACATGTCTGACACCCCACAGAATCCGAGTCGACATTGCTTTCGTGCAACACCGAGTGGATGGCTTGGACGCTTGAGTCTCTGACGTTTGCTGTCTTACTCGCAACGCAGGAGTGAGCCTGGCGATGAAGAGAGGCCTTCCCGGCGCAGCTACACTCCCTGCAACAATCATGGAAGTGGATGGCACCCCCTCTTGGTAGAGGAAAGTAGTCTTCCTTTCGGGGCCACTGTCCACGTAACCATGATTGTTTCAAGGAGTGTAGCCGACTTGCTGGTGTGAAGAGCCAACATGAGCCAACATGAGCCAACTGTGAAGAGCCACACGTCGTGTGTTGAGATGTTAAGCTTGCAGCCGAGCGAAAGTGCAAGCGAGATGAAGCGAGTGAAGCCACGAGCGACCGAGAAACACTGGTGGATTTCAAGACGAAGCCATGCAAATTCAAGAGATTCGCCCTCCCTCCCTCCAACCATCGAAGTGGAACAAACCGGTGAAGGACACCGGTGAAACCCACGGATCAATGTCATCCACTTGGTTCTCAGAGAAAAAGGCTATACACCAAAGGGATTCAAAGGGAACATGTCCATTCCAATGTCAGGAATCTTCGGGTCTGCCGTTTTTCCAGCCGCGGCCCTTTACGGTTTCATCGCTTGGATGTGACACCTCAGAGGATCGGACGGCGCAGTTCTTTTCGGCGTCCAGGCAGAGTGCTTCGGCGTGCAGCAGCCGAAGAAGGTCAGGGCAACTGGAAGAGGAGCAGCAAGAGGACAGGGCGCTGAAGGCGTGTGAGATGTAGTAACAAGGGCATCGCGGCTCGAACGGAGCGAGACAAACGCTACGATATAGTAGCTCCTGGCATCGCTACTAGTAACAAGAAGCTATATACTAGGCCAGTGTTTCTTTCTCTTGGTTAATTTTTATATAAGCGCATACTGGGCGAGCAGCCCTTTCAGGTTGGTAGAAAAAGGTAAGGGGCATTGCAAGTCTAATTAGTTCTGTGGGAACACCCATTATCCTGGCAATCCATCAAAGGCGATTCCTGTGCATGACAATTGTTGACGATTTTTTCAGCCTGCGGCACCTGGGATAATCGGATACTCCAAAAAAGTGTTTTTGGATTCCGGATATTTTTAATTTCAACATCTACTTGGGCTGATTGAACCCACTGACTATCACTGACTAAATACTGTTCAAGTGAGTTGAACGCACCAAGCAGTATCTAAGTTCTTTGGGTTTCCCTTCTACCACCGGATGTCTTCTGCCACCGGATCTGGTTGGAACGTCACGGCTCTCAGATCAAGAAGTTTTCGTCGAGGTAGTACACTCCCAGACCTTCCATTTCATTGACCCCAAATCGTTTGGTAAAGATAAACTTCCAAGATCTTCCAAGCCTTCCTGGCGCCAACCTCCTATTTCGGGGCCCACTAAAAAACAACGGATTTCTTGTGACCAGTACAGGGGGGATAGGTTCTTGTGTTGGACACCATGTTGCACACCATGAATTCTGGGGTTTCGGGCCCCCAATGCTTGGACCTGGCAGGCTTCATGTTGGCATGCCAGCAGCTTGATGAGTTGTTGTTAATGATTTGGGCATGTCTAGGCTTATATGATGAAGACTTTCTCTTCCCGGATACCTGAACTTTCAGAACCAATCCGTTTTGATTGCATGATAAGGGTACGAAGGGACCGGCAATTCTCTCAAGAGGGACTCCTTGGAGGCTTACAAAAAGATGGCAAGAACCAGTGTTGAGGTGTCTATTGTTCGTGTGTTTGAACGCGCACACAGACAGACAGGGGGAAACAAGATGCGGATACCAGATTCAAGGCGGTTTGGAGTGGCAATTTGAATATGTTTGAACCATGGATCGGACAGACAGCAAAGTTGCTGAGCACCCGATTTTCAGGCAGCAGTTCAAGGAATACAATCTTCATCCTCACGTTTCAGAATTGACTATATAACCCGGTTCATTTCCTTGTTTCATACGAGTCACGGCCGGGTGGGTTAAAACATATTAACCCCCCCAAAGATAAGGACCGAGCCGAAAAGGATCCCCCCAAAACATCATTGCAACTGTTGTTTTTCTCACTGTCGTTTTGGACACTCCGCATATCCCTGCAGCTTGGTGTTTTCCACGTTGTGCAAACAGACAAAGCAAGATGACTCGAGTCACCACACTATTTTCCGTGTGGAAGGACTTGAACCAGAGGTTCAGAGACTTCATGGAGATGGAGATGGAGCAGGTGTGGATGGGAAGTCCATGCGTGTAGACCATCCAGGAAGAACGGATGTGGCAACCAGATATGGTCTGAAGGGTTTGTAGCCTGGCAGAAAGAGTCATTCATGCAAGTCTAATTAAGTGGAACACAGGCCCTGGAATCAGCTTCCTCGACATTTGTGCCCATTTGAGCAAGCGACTGCTCCACGAACTAAATTTGCGTACTATAGCGGAGGCATTGCAGTTGCATTTCATGCAGAATTTCAAGTAGCGGGACTGAGCTAGCAGTCCGACTGTGAGCAAGTGCTGTTGGGCTGGAACACCAGAGGTCCATTTTACTCAGAAGTGCGATTGACAGCCAAAAGGGGCAAAAGCAAAAGCCAGCCAGGCAGCCAGCTTGCTTACGAATCTGCAAGGCAACCCCTTACTTCATGCATGTCGGTGGGATTGTGTGGTTGTTGTCAACCAGAACACTTTAAGTGTCCATTCCAATAACGTCCTCGCTTGCAAATGCCTGCAAATCCTGGTCTGTTTGGGTGACCGGAAGCTACGCAAGCAGCACGCACGCATGCGGGTTCAGCGAATCCACGAACTTGAACTCTTGGCAGCGGATGTTGCACTATTTGGGTTTGTACATACCCTTTAGAATACAGAACAGGCCACCACGGGAGTGCGTTTTTTTGCGCAAATTTGCAATATTTAAAGTATCTGTCTCTCACTGCATCTGTCTCTCACTGCATCTGTCTCTTACATTGTGTGAAAAGGCCGAAAGACACATGCAAACCAAAAAACAAAAACAAGATTGCAATGCCATGTGGCCACTATAAATCCATGGGAATTTGGAGGGGGATGTTTGTATAAAAATAGGATAACATAAGGAGACCGTCCCAGGGCGTCCCGACCCGCTGGGGTTCGGTTCGGGACATCGAGCAGTCGACCGGCGGGGCGATCGGGGGTCTCCCTATTCAAAGACACCCATTTGATGGGGGATGAGAGCACTGTTGCGAGCACTGTCGCTCACGGCTCGCTCACATCTTGGTACTTGGCCCGCCTTGCCCAACGGAACAAGATGTTTGGGTGGGGAAGAGACAGAGATGCTGTGGGCATGCTGCTAGAGGAGTTGGGCTATATTTTGACACCCCTGGAGGCTGAGTGATGTGACTGAAATGGGTGGCCCTTGACCCAAGCTGATCGGGGTCGCAAAAGGAGATCTATTTTGGCTGACTACGTTCAAGGTAGGGTCCGGCCATAAGCCAATCGACAGTGGAGCATGTCACAGACATGCCGCAGATGAATTGACCTTCAGATCTACAAAGACTTGGGTTCGTCCATCATATTGAAGTAAGAACCGAAAATGATGCCGAATCAACGCAACCCATCCGCTGCAGGAGCTGCAGGATGTGAGGTAGGTTGTAAAACTCATTCGTATGAAAACGGGTGAATGGGAGAAGGACATGCATGTTCTGGGATGTCCTTCAAACACTTCTTTTTCTTGGAATAGAATTGAAGCAAGATCATCGGGTTCGCTCTGAACGGAGAATTTCCTCCAAGATGCGTCGCAGACTGTGCTGAGTAGCTTCGATACGAAGATCACCAAGACCATCCAAGACAAAAGACATCAAAAGACCTAGAAGACGACCTCCAAGACCTATAGAAGAACTAGGAGCGTTCGGACGCTACTAGGGGCTCCTGGCCTCGCTACGAACGGGGCAAGGACGCTACTAGGGGCTCCTGGCATCGCTACTAGTAACAAGAAGCTATTAGGATTAGGAACTAGAAGAATGAGAATGGTGTGGCTTATGGGTCACAACCAGGAGATACCAAACATGGGTCAACCGGGCCCAGGGTTTGGAGCTCCAGGTTTTGACCCACTGCCATCATATACATAGAATTATTTGTAGTTGTAATATGTTATTGTTAATTAAACAAATCACTGAGTGTTCGTATTCTATCATACAGTTGTTATGACGCATGATTGGCACTTTGTTCACCCACACTCCGCCAGGTGCGACAGCCTGTCGAGGTCGCGCAGCGCTCTCAGGCAGGTGAATTCACTCGAGGTCACCTGAATTCACCGAGGACGCCCTGGAAGAGGTCCACATGGAACCTGAAAACAGTTAGTGGAGGAAGCTAGTCTTCCAAAAGTCCTTTTTCAGGTTCGCTGTGGGTCTCTTCCCGGGTGTACCAGTGGGAATCCAGTGCCTGGTATGGTACTGGTGTTCAAAAGTGCCTGGTGTTCAATGTTCCAAAGTTCCTGCGATTTCCAGTACCCCAGGCACTTGGTTTCCATGTTCCTGCGATTTCCTGCGATTTCCAGTGTTTGGTTCCAGTGCCTTCACAATCTCCCACAAATCACAAACACTGTTAGTTGGAACCAATGCATTTTTGACCAACGACCAACGATGGAACAACCCATCCGTGTGCGACTTAGTGCTACATATCTCTCCTTATAGCTGAAGATCTCTCAGACCCATCCTTGGGATCAATAGCTGCATTTTCACGTTTTTTGGCTGAACTTCAGTGCCAAGCCGATTATCATACCTGTTTTTGATTGTTTTTGGTCCTGTTCCGATGCTAGCTTGACCTAAAAGACCGGTGAGGAGGGCTTCTTCCACCTTTTAAGCACCACTAAGGAACTATATGGTAAACCATGGTAAACCAAACCAAGAGTGTTGTGCCTCTGAAAAGACCTGTTTGCGGCAGGGCGTTGGACATCTGGACAGCTATATTGGAGGGTTTCGGACTTCGTGTGACCGAGGGCGTTCGCAGATCGACCCCCACACAGCTTCCAGTGGTTGTCGCGGAAGGGAATTGATCATGGAAGATCTTTCATCCTGTGTCCTTTCAGCATCAGCATCACCTTTCAGCATCAGCATCACGTCCGACCTCCGACGTCCGTTCCTTTCGACCCCGAGCTCCTCCCGCCCCGAACGCGCCCACGACACGGCACCAGATGCCGACGACCATGGCCTTGCTGCTCTTCCGGAATGCGGACCGCAACCATGGGGGCGAGGTCTCGAAACGGGTGGCAGCTGGGGGGTCCAGTGGGTTTGGGGGTCAACTCACCAAAAACGCTTCAGATGGATACAGGTTAAAGAATGGTACGGGTCATCAGTTTTGCAGAGCAACAATGACTTCCACGACGCGGACATCCCAAACAAAGGGGGCCGGTGAGATAGAAAGGGGATGAAAGAGTTGTGCTGTTTAACAATGTTTGAGATGGGGTGAGGGTGTGCTTGCTTGGATTGTGTCTGGATTTAAGTAATTAATGTAGTATAATGTAGTAATTCTTTGTCCACTTTGCCCGTCAACCAGATCTGGCAGTTTGCAGTTCTTTCCAATCAATTGTCAAATCACATCTATTGAGGAACTGCAAGCTTTGCAAGTGTGACTTGGGGCATGCTTCAAAACAGAGAGAAGACTGCAAAATAGGTTTCGCAAGAATGATGCCAGTTTGAGACTAAGCCATCTTGTCATTTGGTTCTGGGCAACCAGAAGCAGCTCTGGCCGGGTCGCTTCGCTCTTGCCCGGTCGCCTGGTCGCACCGCTCGCAGACGTTGTTCGTGAAGAGATGGCCACCCGCGGGCGGGCTTAAGGCGGGGGCGATGGACGGATTCGGGTTCTCAGCGAGGTGTCGTTGAGTCGAATCGTCGATTCGGGTACTTCGCATGCCGCCACTTCGGAATCACTCCTTCTCCTATTCCGTTTTTGTGTGGCACTGCGGCATGGTCCGTGGAGGTCCATCATTTGTCTTTCTTTTTCAGCGGTCTGAGGTGTAGCAATTGCATGTAAATGCAATAATTTAATATAATATGATGTCATCTTGACTGCTGGCAACTCCTTTAGATTGGCATTAACAAAACCACTTCGCATAACTCTGATGGTTTTGCCAAACATACAAAAAGCAACAAAACACATCAACAAAATGCAGAAGCAACAACATCGCACATCCAAAAAGCAGATGAAAAAGCAAAACCAACAAAAAAGGACATCCAAAAAGCAAATGAAAACGTAAAAGAAAAAAAAAACATTGCAAATCCAAAAAGCAAAAAAGCAAATGAACAAGCAACAGACAAACAAAAAAGCGAAAACAAGGCGCCCGCGAAAGGCGCCAAAACGAAAAAGTGAAAAACAACAAAAGAACAATGAAAAAGAAGCAACACAACAAAAGGCAAACAAACAGCGAAAAAAAGGAAACAAACACACAACGAAAAAAACATGCGAAAAACGCACGGGAAAAAACGCAAAACAAAGCAAACAACAAAAACGAAAACATAGGTCATCATGTTTTTTCATTTTCTTGCTTTTTGGAATTGTCTATTTTGCTTTTGCTTTTTCGTTTTCATTTTTTGTTGCAGTTGCTTTTTGGATTTGCTTTTTGTTGCTATTGCTTTTACTTGTTTTTTGGTTTGTTATTTTTAGCTTTTGCTTTTTCATTTGTATTTAACATCAATTTGTTTAAGTCATTTTTATTTTCTAGATTCTCGGAGTTAGCCTGGGTCCGGTGGTAAGATTGGCACAGAAGAGTTTTTTCGATCCGTGTATCCGAAGCAAACACCCGTGCTGTGGGTATGGTGTCCGCCTTCAAGCACACAGAGTGTGGGTTCGATGTGAAGATGTGCCCGACTTGCAGTGGAACCAGTTGAGTATCTATGGTGGAAATTGAGTCATCTCAGATCTCCCGTTCTGGGGCTGGTCGGGGACACCTTTTAACATATTAAATAGATGTTCTTGCCGCGAAACCAACATGATTAGAGTACACAACGTTTATGGAAGGATTTGTGTACAATGCAAATAAGGACAGACATAGTTTATTTTTCTGACAGACCTCTGTTGGATCATGAGAAAGGGTCTCACCTTTCTCATGCCCCCTTTCCAACCCTCAGACAGATGTTGCACCGGGTGGTTTGAAGTTGTTTGACAGGACTTTTTGGACATCGCGATCGCCCACCTGGGGCCTTCACGTCAGGGCTTCACAGGGTTCTCCGCCTTTCCGGAGCGTCACCAGTTCTCCGCACACCAACTGTTGGGCGGAAACGAACAGCCCCTTTGGAAACAACGGGTTTGTAGTCTGAAGAGGTGTTTCCTACTGTGGCCCCTTTACACAGCGATTCCAAGTTGTGGGGGGAAAAGCCCAAGTGTCGCAACATGTTGCAACTCTTATTTGCAGGAACTGCTTCATCTGGCGGGTGAGGCTGGTAGCGCCGTGTGCGAACGGTTTGGCTCTGCTAAGCGAACGGGCCCCAGCACTGCATGGCTCCAAGATGTACAAAGGCTATCCTGGCGGGGCCGTGCCAGCTACAGCTTGAGTGCAAGGTAGGGTGTATGTCTATATACCTAGGAGCTTGTTCGGGCCATATTTTCCGTCTGAACCAACAAATATGTCATGGGCACTCTGTTTCCTGAAACTCAGGCGAAACTCTGATTTGGGCTCGAGTCACAATCAGAGCGGGTAAAGCCTGACGTGTTTCGGATTGAGGGTGCCACTCGCCTTCTTTGTGTCGTTGTCAGCAATTGTTTCGCATAGTCTGCACGTAGTAGCGTTTGGGATCAGGATCAGGAGCTGTATTTAGAAGCTGGCCCACTGAAGTAGCACTTCATCTTGAGGCTTGCGCACAGTTAGGTGTTGCACATGCTTGCTAGTACCCCCTGGCACCTTCTGCTGCTAGGCGACCAAGCCTGTGGGGGCGCTCGGGATTCGGCGTTCCCAAGAATCAGGAGCTGGTTTCATGGAAAGCCACAGTATGTCTTCACGCAGCGCAGCGCCAGCAGTGTGTCTTCACGTACTGTGACTATTACCACTAGTATGGTCCGGTTTCATCCTTAGACTTGATGCCGAAACAAAGCAAGGCCAGAGACCACCCGGGTATCGTCTCGGGCCTTGTAACGACCAGGGTTTGTAGCGGAGTCAAACCTATTTGACCTACACTTGAGGGGCTTAAGACCTCTTGTGGTCTAAGTCTATTCCACTACATGTCCTGACAGCATCTTCAACCCATCTCAAAGTAATCGGACTCAAGAGTTCCCTTTTTGAATGTTGCCTTTTGGGTTCTATGCCAGATGCTGGAAATCGGTTTCTTTTTCGTGTCTCAGAAAAAAGACCTGCAGCTGGACATCGGTCAGGTCCTGGGTGTTTCCATATGCAGCTGGAAATCGGTCTCACGGTGGACGAGATCGTTGATCGGTGGGACCCGAAGAACATCGATTAAAACATGACCAGTTCACCGGACACAAGGACGCTGGAAGAACACCTGGAAGAAAGGACGGTCCTGGAAGAAAGGTTCTTTCACGAAAGTCTATCCATCCGCCGGAATGACAAAAAACTATCGTTACTGTAGGATTTTGGAGCCTTGTTAAGAGCCTATTAGGCTAATGATATCTAATTATGCTGTTTTTCATGCATTGAAATGTATAATTGTCTATTCTTTAGTAAAAAACATCTGACCTATATAGATATGTTTCTTTTAGAGAGGCAACGGGGGGGATAGAATTCATGATCTTTTTTTCTCAGTGCTCCAGGTCGTCGCGCCCGCTAGAGCTCTCTATGACGTTCACCTGAAGCCGATCCTCTCGCTGGACGAGGTGTAGTACTGACCGGGATGCTATGGGAATGCAGGATGGAGAGGCTGTAACAAGGAATGGAGATGGGAATGCACCTAGTAGCAGGTGCATTGCTACTAGTAGCAAGAAGCTACTAGTAGCTTCTAGCTACCACTTTCTGGTCACCTTTTGACCTCGGCGGTGCCGGTTCGACATGGCATGACGCGTTTTCGGCGTGCTGACCGGTGCGAGTGGCGTTTGGACCGTCGATCAGGTGAAGCCTGGGAACATCTACTTGGTGAAGGGCTTGGAGGTGCAGATCGCGGCAGTAGCCACGGCAGCGGACGCCGCTGATCGTGAAGTTAGACAATTCAGCCTGGCTGTAGAATACGTTCCCATGTTCTTCTTTTAGTAAGGGGATCAGACCACTAGAACTTGAGTTTCGATTCTGGTTTGGTTTCGTTTTGGGGCAATGGACGTTCCCATATACAATTGATGCTACAAGTTACTGCAAGTTCAGTTTTTTCTCTGAAACAAACACTTTAATCTCTATAACTCACTTCTTTGGATGTTCCAGAAGCTTTCCACTTTCCACACTTTGATGGCAATGCCTGTGCCATGGTCTTGGTCTTGGCGGAGGCATTCGATCCACCGAAGCTCTTCTTCAACCACAATCCGGTGGAGGTGCCCTCCCTGCGAAACATGATTAAGGCGCTGAGGGCTGAGGACGCTACTAGGAAAAGGAGGGCACTCGGAGCAAGAAGCTACTAGGGTGGAGGCCATTGCTATTAGGTGGAGATCATGGCAAGTAGGTTGGAGGCCATTGCTACGAACGGAGCACGGACGCTACCAGTAGCTCCTGGCATTACGACTTGTAGCGATCAGACGCTACTAGTAAACCATGCTCGGTCAGGCGGGTGTAGCTCCGGCCCAGGGGGGCTTTTCGGAGGTCTACGAGTGATGGACATCTCCTGCTGGTTGACAAGCGGAAGATCATTATCATTAGGAACTTGCCAAGCACTGGTCATGATTCGTAAACTTTAGTGGGACTCCTTCCAGGTAGAATTTGCTGGTGCATGTGTCTGGATTTCTTTCAGTAGCGTAGAGGTTTTCCAGAACCTTTGTCAGCTTCAAAAGCCTTTGTCTCCCTGATCCGCTTCAGAAGAGCATGGAGAATCTAAACCATGCTGTTTACCCACAAAAGAATATGAGCAGCCTAGCACCCTGGGCTTCAAGCAGCCAGTTTCTTCCTTGGTTTTTGCATCACTGCACTTGACATCTTGCTCGAAAAGGCTGAAGGAATTAGACTCTTTTTTGCGCCTGGAGGTCCAGGATCCTTTTATTGCGGCATGCATCATAGAGAACTTATGATCCGGAATACCTACGGTGTGAGTTGCTCTCAGACCTTCTTCCCTGTCCTTGCCCTTTCTTGCCTTGAATACTGGCTTCATGTGTTAGGGAATCTTGGATTACATGCTTACCTTCGGGTGTGGATGGATGAAAATGAGAACTTGCCCCAGGACCTAAGCAACTCATCCTCCAGCTAGAGAAGGCCCAATATCTAATCTCTTCCACATGGAGAAAGCTTACCTTGCGACTCTCCACCTCTCCACCTGAAGCTTTATCACCGTCACACGTGACACTGCAGAGCTGCCCTTGACGTCTTAGCACGCGAGGCGTCGAGACGTTCCCTACAAGATCAGATGAGCATCCCATGTGTCGGCACCGAATTAGATGGGGGGGGATCAGATAGAATCCGCCACTAGATGCATGGCACAGTATGGCACCATGAGGTTTCTTGGAGTCACTCATCTTGTTGACCCTTAAGACGAGCTCGTCTCGTTTTTTCATATTTTTTCTGGACCAGGCGAAGGAGGCGGTGGCCGGCGAGCGGGATGTGCTGGAGCAGTTTAGCCAGGCGGGAGAGATGCTCGTGGTGCAGCACCGGGCGGCAAGAAAGCACCGGTGCGTCGGACGCGACGAACGGGGCGACGAACGAGTGTCGTGTGCTTACATGTCATCCGGTCGCCGTGCCATGTCATCCATCATTGTGTGGTGAAAGGTGTTTGTGGATGCGCGCGTTCGTTGGACGTTGCTTTGAGCTCCACTTCGTTCTCTGGGTCGCGGCACTCACGAAGTCCGGACGGGGTGAAAAAACGAGCAGATCGACAGTGAACTGCAAAAGATCCCCGTTCACTCCACGACATCCACGACTCTTTGTATACAGCTAGCTCATGCTAGCTCATCTGCTGTCCGGGGTGTTTTTTTTTTGCATTACACTGGTGGCCGACACCTTTGTCGAATCCATATTGGTGGATGAAGGGAAGACACTGATAGGGACCAAGTAAGAAAAGTATAAGATAAGTTCCAGGTTTAAAGACGATTCACTTTGAGATGTCTTTGGCAATTGCTGGTACAAAGTGACACAGGTGTGAATCACATTGGTGCTTGGTCTGTACTCCAGATGACCTCACCACCCAGAATCACTCCCTCGCGTCACTCCTCAGGTACCTTCCTATGCCTCTCAGCAGTTGAGAGCCTCCGTCCAAAAGGAAACCTTCCCAACGGCAGACTCGCCGCCCTGGTTGTCCGGACACTCAGACCATTTGGGCTCCCCGAGCCAACGTCCCGTCCGTCGCTGGCGCGCAGTCCGTCCGAGCTCGGCCGGAGCAGTGGACCTCGGGATCAGGTCGAAGTATGGACCTCTGGTCTTTCCGCAGAAAGCCCGAGAATGGCAGGTGGGCTTCGCCGAAGAGGGAAGAGGTGGTCACTGTCCGTATCGATTGGACGGCTCTGACCCGTTTTGGCGGATTTTGGACGTTGGCCGGGTGAACATGGACTTTTTGGTGGTGTCCACCTTGCTAACAAATTGGGAGAGTTTCCTGCTGGTTGGAGCTTCTGGATCGCATCGCTTTACCTTCCACCATCTTCCACCCCAAAAAGAACCGGTACGACAATCACACTGGAGCTATATGGGATATCTTAATTATTTAAAAATTAGATTCGCCACACACACACACACACTTTTGACATTGCAGACAATTTTGTGACGGTCAACCTTTGTTACTTACTATCCCAAGTGGTGTGTGTGTGTTTCTTATCCATGCCGAAAGCATCTAGAAGCTTGCATGGCTCAACGTGACCCTAGCAACTTCTTTTCAAACTTTGTGCATGCTAATGTCGACGTAGGATTAATCACCCCCCCTTCAAGGTCAGCAAGGTCGACAAGGTTTGAAGTTGGAGGTATTGGAGACCACATCCCCTTAACAAAGGTGATGACCTGATGATGGATGATGATATGATGACAAGATTAGGAAAGATCGGGATGATTAGGAAAGGGATGAAAGAGATTGGAAGACAAGATTATTTGATTGATTGGGATGATTAGGAAAAGAAAGAGGATTGCAGGATGAACGAGATGGAAAACAAGATGGTGGGCTTGATTATATAATAGGGGAGGGGCCCCTACAATTAGAGGGTGGTAGGGCCTGTGTGAGGGGTACCCTTTGTGAGCTTGAAAACCTTAAGATTTTGATAGAGTTTTATTCAGGGAAAATGCAAGAATGTTGCTAGCAAGTGTTTTTTATTGACAGGGAAGGATGAGAAGAAAAAGCAGGATGAGAAGCAGAAGGAGGATGATAATGATGGATGATAATGAAGCAGAAGGAGGATGAGAAGCAGTGGACCAGAAGATTTTGCATACTGACCAAATGGAAAGTCTTAACCAGTAAATATAACTACAATGAACTATGAACTATAATAGTAAATAAGCTTATTATTAATCTTCTGGGGCAGCTGGGCTTTGATTAATAGGGGGAGGTTTTCTGGCAAGGATTTTTTTAATTAGGGTGATGCACATGTGGAATTCAGGTTTTAAATTAGTTGACTGTAGCATTGGCGGCTCGAGCTGGGCTTCATTAATATGGGGAGGTTACTTAATCCTATGTCAAAAAAATGGAAATTCAAGAAAACCATAGCCTCGGCCTTTGACTCTACCTCTACCAGCCCTCAGGAATGTTAAATTTACCCACGCAGTTGCCCAGGAACTTCCTGTCTTGAGAAACTTATCCAGGCGGGTTGACCTCACTCCTATCCCTTACCCCTGGTAATTGCACACAGCCCTTTGAACGAGCCAGATCCGAGAAACCGAGCGCGGGATTCCAAGAACCTTAGGACTATAGATTCAAGAGCAGCAGAACCATAACCTCGTCCACAGGAATGTTGACTGTACCCGCTATAGCTAGGCCATGCCACGGGCCTGTACCGTCTCAGCATCGCGAGCTAAAAAGGGTCATCTTCTGCCCATGATTGCTCTTGTATGCTCTTGTAGGGGGCCCCTTGACCTTGATTTTTAACTAATTATGTGACAACTTGTGACTATCTGGGTAACTTTTTGAACTCAGGATCTCGGTGAAATACATTTACGTAATTATCCTCAGGGGGTTGAGGGGGGGTCCTTCTAAGATACCCCATATCTGGAGCGTTTTTCAAAGAAATGCGGACCGGGACCCTGCATCATGACCTCTTCATATCAGAACCCAACACCAGTGGCGGTTTTTGTGCCCTTGGCCAGTTGGATGATCCGCTGCAGCACGCGCTGAACTGGAGCTGTCAAGGACTGAACGCGCACCTTTCGTGCCGCACGAACGGTGCATCGTTCGTGCCGTTCGGCGCACCCAGTTCGTGCCATTTTGTTACGCTTGATGCAGAAATCCCGCACCAACTGACAATACTAACATAGATACTCATTGAACAGAACACTAAACACACACACAAAGAAACGAAAGGCAGGGGTTGATGTAAGACTGTAACACATGGCAGGGTGATTTGGTGCATCAAAGCTGCTACATATTTGATACCCCAGCAAAACCTACGTTTTCCTCACTCTTGCTGATATTTGCTACATGTTTTTGGAATGACTTTTGAGGCTTAACTTTGGATAGATTGGGGCATTTGGTTTTCGTGGGGGTACCATCCATCCATTCATCCATTCATGGGCCCGTACTTACATGCTTACATGCTTACCTCCATGCAGACATACACATTTACACAAAGACACACAGACATACAGACATACAAACACACATAAATACAGACATACACACACATACATACATACATGCATACATACATGCATACATCCATTGGACTGCGCTCAAAAAGCCCTACTCAAAAAATATAGATACACGTAGAAAACTTTTAAGGTTGTAGATGTGTTTTTAAGTCTTCGTTTAGAAGCAGCAGAATATGGTGATACAGCACGGCAGCGCTAGATTGGCGCTAGGTTGGCGCTAGGTTTCTTCACAACCGGATAGCAAGCAGGAAAAAGAAGAAACAAGCAGAGAGCAGGAAACAGAAGAAGCAAGACAAGAAAAAAGAAAAGCCAACAAGAAGAAGAAGAAGAAGAAGAATGCACAACAAGAAGAAGAGAAGCAAGCAGGAAAAATAAGAATCTGACAGGATAAAGAAATCGACGGATATTTTTGCGCTAGGCTGGCGCTAGATCCGCGCTAGCACCGCGCTAGACGACGGTCCATGTCTTGACCATTGCCCATCCAACATCCAAATCTTTGGAGTCAGCTCTTACGTCCTTCCTAATTATGTCGTTCTGAAGATTTCTGAGAACAAAAAGTGGAAACAACTGCAGGAGTCCAGCAGCAGCAGCAGCAACAGCTCCAGCATCTCAGCAGTCCGCGCTAGACACCTCTCACAGTTTTTGCAGTTCACACGCCTTCATGTTTAACATCCCTGTGGTTGAAGTTTAAAGGAGATTTAGAAGCGGGCCCCCATGGAATTGCGACGAGTGCACCATTTTGGGAAAAGACATTTTGGAAACCAACCCCATACATATACACATACATACATACACATACATACACACACATACCTACATTAAAACATACATACATACATACATACACATACATACATACACATACACACACATACATACATACACACATACATACACACACATACACACACCTACATACACACCTACATACACACGTACACACACACATACATACATACAGACAGACAGACAGACAGACAGACAGACAGACAGACAG